GCTAAGTAGCTATTATCAGAGAAAATAAAACCACAGTAAAGGAATTAGACCAATTAATGAGTAAGCAATGGCAAAATTATATCAACTACTCCAAAAGTCAGTCAAGCAATACACAAATAGTATAGAATATGACACCTAATATATAAAGAATGGAGGAGGAAGAAAAAGAAGGGAGAAAAAAAAAGAACCTTTAGGTTGTGTTTGAAATAGCTTAATAAGTGAGTTAAGTTAGACTGTTAGATAGTAAAGAAGCTACCCCTGAACCTCTGGTAACAATGAATCCAAAGCATGCAATGGCAATAAGTACATACCTATCAATAATCACCCTAAATGTAAGTGGTCTGAATGCACCAATCAAAAGACATAGAGTCACTGAATGCATAAAAAAACAAGACCCATCTATATGCTGCCTACAAGAGACTCACTTCAAACCCAAAGACATACACAGACTGAAAGTGAAGGGATAGAAAAAGATATTTCATGCAACTAACGGAGAAAAAATCAGAAGTTGTAGTACTTGTAAAAGACTTCAAAACAAGAAAGTCACAAGAGACAAAGTAGGGCATTACATTAAAGGAGTCAATCCAACAAGAGGACAGAACAATTATAAATATCTAAGCACCCAACACAGAAGCACCTATATATGTGAAACAAATACTAACAGAATTAAATGGGAAATAGAATGCAGTGTATTCATTTTAGGAGACTTCAACATACCAACCACTCCAACAGATAAACCAGACAAAATAAGAAGACAGAGGCACCGAACAACACATTAGAACAGACAGACCTAACAGACATCTACAAAACACTCTACCCAAAAGCAGCAGGATACACATCCTTCTCAAGTGTACATGGAACACTTTCAAGAATAGATCACATATTAGGCCACAAAAAGAGCCTCAGTAAATTCAGAAGGATTGAAATGTACCAATCAGCTTCTCAGACCAGAAAGGTATGAAACTAGAAATAAATTATGCACAGAAAACAAAAAGTCCCACAAATACATGGAGGCTTAACAACATACTCCTAAATAACCAATGGATCAATAACCAAATAAAAACTGAGATCAAGCAATATATGGAGACAATGCTTACCTCGGGAAAGAAGAACAATCCCATATGAACAGTCTAAATTCACAGTTAACAAAACTAGAAAAAGAAGAACAAATGAGGCCCAAAGTCAATAGAAGGAAGCACATAATAAAGATCAGAGCAGAAATAAATAAAATTGAAAGGACTAAAACAATAGAAAGAATCAATAAAAGCAGGAGCTGGTTCTTTGAGAAAATAAACAAAATAGATAAACACCTACCCAGACTTATCAAGAAAAAATCAGAGTCTACAGATATAAATAGAATCAGAAATGAGAAAAGAAAAATCACTATGGACACCACAGAAATACAAAGAATATTAGAGAATACTATGAAAAATTGATGCTAACAAACTGAATAACCTAGAAGAAATGGACAACTTTCCAGAAAAATACAATTTCCCAAAGCTGACCCAGGAAGAAACAGAAAACCTGAACAGACCAATTACTAGCAAGGAAATTGAATTGGTAATCAAAAAGCTACCTAAGAACTAAATCCCTCCCTGGACCAGATGGCTTCACCACTTAATTTTACCAAACATTTAGTGAAGACCTAATACCCATACTCCTTAAAATTTTCCAAAAAGTGGAAGAGGAGGGAATACTTACCAACTCTTTCTATGAGGCCAGAATCACTCTAATACCAAAACCAGGCAAAGACACCACAAAAAAAGAAAATTACAAACCAATATCCCTGATGAACATAGATGCAAAATTACTCAACAAAATATTAGCACACTGATTTCAAAAATACATCAAAAAGATCACCCATCGTGATCAAGTAGAATTTATTCCAGGGATGCAAGGATGGTTCAATAATAGAAAACACATCAACACATACACCACATCAACAAAAAGGACAAAAACCAAATGATCATCTCCAAAGATGCTGAAAAAAAATTCAACAAAATTCAACATCCATTCATGATAAAACTCTCAACAAAATTGTTATAAAGGGCAAGTACCTAAACATAATAAAGGCCATATACAACAAACCTACCTGGGAATAAACCTAATGAAGGAAGTAAAAGACCTATACCCTGAAAACTAAAAGACACTCATGAGAGAAATTAAATAAGATTCCATTAAATAGAAATACATCCCAGGCTCATGGATAGGAAGGATTAATATTGTCAAAATGGCCATCCTGCCTAAAGCAATCTACAGATTCAATGCAATCCCTATCAAAATACCAACAGCATTCTTCAACAAACTAGAGCAAATAGGTCTAAAATTCACATGGAACCACAAAATACCCCGAATAGCCAAAGCAATCCTGAGAAGGAAGAACAAAGCTGGGGGATTACACTCCCCGACTTCAAACTCTACTACGTAGAGCCGCAGTAATGGAGACAATTTGGTACTGGCATAAGAGCAGACCCATAGACCAATGGAACAGACTAGAAAGCCCAGATATAAACCCAAGCATATGTGGTCAATTAATATATTATAAAGGAGCCATGACATACAATGGGGAAATGACAGCCTCTTCAACAGCTTGTGTTGGCAAAACTGGACAGCTACATGCAGGAGAATGAAACTGGATTATTGTCTAACCCCATACACAAAAGTAAACTTGAAATGGATCAAAGACCTGAATGTACATCATGAAACCATACAACTCTTACACACAATATAAGCAAAAATCTCCTGAATATAAACATGAACAACTTTTTCCTGAACAAATCTCCTCAGGCAAGGGAAACAAAAGCCAAAATGAAGAAATGGGACAACATCAAACTAAAAAGCTTCTGTACAGTAAAGGACACCATCAGCAGAACAAAAAGGCATGCTACAGTTTGGGGAATATATTTGTAAATGACATATCCAACAAGGGGTTAACATCCAAAATATATAAAGAACTCACATGCTTCAACAACCAAAAAGCAAATAACCCGATTATAAAATGGGTGGAGGATACGAACAGACAATTCTCCAAAGAAGAAATTCAGATGGCCAACAGGCACATGAAAAGACACCCCACATTGCTAATTATCAGGGAAATGCAAATTAAAACTACAGTAAGATATCACCTCACAACAGTTAGGATGGTCAGCATCAAAGCGATTAAGAACAACAAATGCTGGTGAGGATGTGGGGTAAGGGGAACCCTCCTACAGTGCTGATGGGAATGTAAATTAGCTCAACCATTATGGAAAGCAATATGGAGGTTCCTCAAAATACTAAAAATAGAAATACCATTTGACCTGGGAATTCCACTCCTAGGAATTTACCCAAAGAATACAAGTTCTCAGATTCAAAAAGACATATGCAACCCTATGTTTATTGCAGCACTATTTACAATAGCCAAGATATGGAAGCAAACCTAAGTGTCCATCCGTAGATGAATGGATAAAGAAGAGGTGGTACATATACACAATGGAATACTATTCAGCCATAAAAGGAAACAAATCCTATCATTTGCAACAACATGGATGGAGCTGAAGGGTATTATTCTAAGTGAAATAAGTCAGGCAGAGAATGACAAGCACCAAATGATTTCCCTCATTTGTGGAGTATAATAACAAAGCAAAACTGAAGGAACAAAATAGCAGCATACTCACAAACTCCAAGAAGGGACTAGCGGTTACCAATGGGGAGGTAAGGGGGTAGGTGGGTGGAAAGGGAGGGAGACTGGGATTGAAGGGCATTATGATTGGCACACATGGTGTAGGGGGGGAGGTCACAGGGAAGACAGTGTAGCACACAGAAGACTAGCAGTGATTCTGTCATCTCACTACACTTGATGGACAGACTGCAATGGGGTTTGGGGGATTTGATAGTATGGGTGACTGTAGTAACCACAATGTTTTTCATGTGAAACCTTTGTAAGAGTGTATATCAGTGATACCTTAATTTTAAAAATCCTATGTATCATTGTCTGTACAATAGAATTCTTTTTCAGAAGTCCTTGCTATGACATTTTAAAAATCATTGCTTTTAAGGTTTGTAGATGACACACCACCTTCACTGTTTATATTATCTCATCTTTAACAGCAGTCCATTGAAGCTGAGAGAATGATATTATTATCCTCACTCACTGAAGATATTAAAAACATTTAACAATCAATATGGCTTGGGACCAACCATAGCCCTGCAATGGGGTGGGTCCTCAATGACCCCTGCTGAGCTCCATACCTTTTTGTTGCTTAATTACAGGGAGGTTGGAAAGAATTCAGTTAGAGTGGTTATTCATCAAACAGTACTGAAGGATTTCAATATTTAATAAACAGTATGGCTGTACTAGTGTATACCAGACCACTATCAGCCCCATGTACTTTTGCCAAGGAAAAAAAAAACTGACATGGCTTTTCTAGGACTATGTACCATAAATGACAAAGCTTGTATTCAAAGTTAGTCTTCAAAGATCCCAAACCTCTACTATTACTGGCTTTCTTTACTTGTGTGTTCTTTCTCACATTCGTGGACCACCCTAATCAGTGACTCACACCAGGGAGTAGAATACAGCAGTTAGAGACAAAAGACTTACATTCAAGTCCTACTTCTGTTATTTATTAATTGTGAGACTTTGGGCAATTCACTTGATCCTACAAGACTGACTTTCTTCACTGGGGAAATTATAGTTACCATGTCAGCATAGGAGGGCAGCTGAAGAAAAGCTTTATAAAATATTCAGTGCTATTCAGATGTCAGCCATTCATGTTATGGGCAGATTGGCAGTTTTCATCTTAAAAATCTGAATGCTGGAACTGGAATTCTTTCCTCAAATGAGAAAACTCAGACTTCTGAGAGATTGAATTACTTGCCAAATGTCACACAGCTATAATAATAGAGCCAGGACTGATTTCAAAGCTCTTGCCTTCCATTCACGGCTCTTTGCTGGGCAGCCTCCAAATTCACCTCGTAGGCTAACTACAAAGATGGAAATGTGAATGATCTTAACTTACAGTCATAGCATTGTTGGCAGGCTCTTGTCATCAGCTCATTCCAAGACTGCATGAAGGTCTGCTTCTGGCCCAGCACACACCTGTAGTTCAGGGCGCCCCCAGCCAATTTGCTAGGTCTCTTCAGCAGCAACAGGCCTGCAAGTCACTCCAGTGGCTCTGGAAGTGGAATAGCAGAATGTGGTGTTAACGATATTTCTGCTACAGACACAGCACAGCAGGTAGAAGACAGCATGAATGGGGACAGTGCCTGCACCACAAGGGTGACTTCCAAGGCGTCATTTGCCACAGGCCGAAGGGGTCATCCATCCTAGTGTGACAATTGTGAAGGGTTATTCTCAGCCTATTAAGATTCAGGCTACATTGTCTCAAAAAGATAACCCTCACTGAAAAGCAACAGTCAAATGATATGGATATAGCCCACTCCCAGAACTTCAGGCAAATTGAGTAAAGTAAGGTGGTTTTGTGAAATAAGCCTGGCTTTGGAGTCAGACAATTTTTAAATTCAGAAACCAAGACTTCCATTTACTAGTTCTGGTAGTCATTTGCACTGTCCCCAAAATTTCTCACCCAGTCCTCTGGGTACGTAATAGAGCCATGCTTCCTAGCCTGCCTATGGTTAGGTAGAGTCACGTGACTGGTCCTGGCCAAAGCATGATGAAAAAAAGAAATGTATGTCACTTCTAGAGCAAGATTGTATTGCTGATGACACTCTCTAGAGATGTCTTTCCCTCTGGTACAGCAACATTTGTGATGGCTGCTGCTCTGTAGGATGCAGGCTACATCCTAAGTACAATGAGAGCAGAGCCCTCCTGCTGACTCACTGTGAATGTGGGACACAAGCAAAAAATAAGCTTTTGTGTTTTAAGTCACTGAGAAGTGGAGGTTGTTTATTATCACAGCATTATCTAGCCTATCCATATTGATACATTAGCTATAAGATTTTTCATAAATTAATTTTTCTGAGCATGAGATTCTGATGTGTAAGGATGCATACCTTTTAGAGTTGTGAGGATTACAGCTCCTAGCACATATTTGGTCATTGTTAGCTATTACTATTATCAAGCTATAACTATTGTTAGCTATTGCTATTGTGAAAACAGGGAGAAATGCAGGTGGAAGCAAGAAATCCTTACACAGACTCCACTCAGTCAGTCACCTAGACATAGAGCTTTGGCAGCCAGGACAGCCAGCTAGAAAGCGGCCCCAAATATCTTTCATCACTCATTCATTTCTTCATTTTATAAATACATATTATCTACTATGTGACAGACACTGTTAATGCAATGGAAATATAAGAAACAAGTTCAAGCTCTTATGGACTTTACCTAGAACACCTCATGCGTTTGAACGGCTGCTTTTCAGATTACCTAATTGTATCCTCAGAGAAAACAAGGAGCTTAGAATTTGATCCTTTGCATTTTGCATTTTTGGGATTGGCATTTTAGGAATTTTTAATTCCTTGGAAATATTTTCACATATTTTAACAGATTTAATCCTCACTGCACTCTTACAAATAGGTGAGGAAGTTATTACTATGTAAATTCACAGGTGGGGAAATTAAGGCTGGGTAAAGTTATCTTGCTTTTGTTAGCATCCAGCTACTCAGTGGCACTGCTAACTCTCAGTTCCTCATTCAGACTTTAGCATTTTTTTTAACCCCAGATTGACAATAAAAACTTGTACTACCATCTTGCCCAGGGATACTCCTGGATAACACTGAAAGTGCTTTAGATGAAATATAATGGAGTTACTCTATGGTTATAGTAATAAACTACAACAAATAGGATACTCAACAAAACTGTCCTGTACCAAATTCTGCCTACTAATGGATCAAATTTCAGGAAGTTTCTACTTCACAACTCCATGTGTGGAAAGAGATCCAAGCACACCTCTAACGCAGGCATTTTTACCACATTGGTACAGTATGTAAGAAGAAAAGACCAACACAGATATTATCTGTCTTCTGTTGTTTTTTACTGGAGAAAATGTCCTAGAAAGCTAAGCCACACATAGGGCCTCACCAATAGCTCAATATCTTCCTCTAAGCCCATTCCCTGAAAATTCAACATGTCAAGGAGCATTTCAAACATCTCTCTTTTATGGAACCTTCTTTAATTGCCCTGTCGTAAGTGACTTCCTATCATTTTTTGTTTGTTTGCATCTTAATCTGACACCTACTGTATCCTCAAGTCATGTTCAGATGGCAGTGAAAACAGCCTGACTGAGCTGCTATTCCACATTAGGAAATGATGGAAATATATAAGGAATTTAGATTGAGGCAAATTATGGAGGCCCCCACATGCAGACTAAAAAAAATTTAGATTTTCCTGTATAGGCAAGAGAAGCTGCTGGGGAAACTTGGAGTATTTACAAAATATAAATAAAATCATATGATCACTTGTGCTGCTAAAGGAAAGGGAGAAGGTGGATGGAAACCAGGGTTTGAATAATGTGAAATGAGAGTTAACCCAAACAGTTATTTTTGTCTTGGAGACATCTTCAGATTTACACTTGACTAGTTAGACTTACTTCTAATCAGATAAAGCTGCAGCTTAACTCCTGAATGATAAGACTTGGAAAATAGTGTCTGCAAGGCCACATCACCTGTGAAGTTTTATAGGCATTCTCCTAGATCAGCCCTTTCATGGACCCTATTTTCCCAACAGGTCAGAGAACTCCAGAATGTAAGTACTCTTTCCACCAAGTTAAGAAGTTGAAGTAACCAAACACTGGCTCTGAAAAGTAAGTCTCTATTTACCCAGATGTCATTCATTATTGGGCTTCTTCATCAATCAATGGGCTTCTTCAGTTGGCAAACCCATCATTCATGGCAACTAGCTAACACTTTGCACCCTTTCCTAGGTGGTGTTAAAATCTGAGGTGCCCTGCATTCTTTGTGTGTAAGACACATAGACTTCTTTTTCTGCATGAACTCAATCAAAAGCAGTCAGGAATGGCTTTTCAACATCTCCCAAATGAAATCGCGACTCCGCTCCACCACAACCCGACTCCAACCTACCAACTGGCTTGGCTGACACCGCTTCGCGTCCCATCTCGGTGGAAACCTGTCCTGATAGCAGCTGTTGCCCCTCACTCATTCACTGTCACTAACCCGGCCAGGTGTTTCCGGGGCTGAAACGTCTTGACAGCGGTCGCCATTTTGTTTTCCCCGCGCTCTGGAGAGCCGCGTCCGTTCCCGCTGAGCCCGGCAAAGGCCTCTCTGTCGCTCAGTCCTCCAGCGCCCCTCTATGGTACATCCTCTGTACTACAGACATGGTACTGTCTCCTTCCGTGCTCCCTATTCCTCCCTAGCTAATCGCTGTCTACCCTAAGAACACCAGCCTTAGCCAAACTGTATTTAGCACGTTCTCTCTAATAGTGATCTTCAAAATTCTCGGTTTACTTACTTGCCAAAAGATTGAAAGCTAAGTACCCATCCACACACTTTTAAGTAGTCCTCTAAAATTTTTCATCATGAATTTAAATAATTGCAAAGGGTGATATTTCCAGTATATGGTAAACAACAACTTTTTAAAACAAAACTGTTGCCTCTCTTTATAAATTTGCCCACTAAAATTTAAATACCACAGTGATTCGGTACCCATCCATTTGAAAATAGGTAAATGAACACTTCTTTACCATATACTTTATTTTACATTGTTGGGGTTTTTTTTGGTCACTAAAGAGAATGCCCTCCTAGAATTTATCCAAATGAAATATATATATATATGCTTTATTGATCATCCTATCATACTTCTCTGCAACAAAAATAGGTGTGTTATTTAAAACATACATTCATGTTTTTAATTTCTTATATCCATAATTCTCCTAAATTAAGTTAACCATTAAAATCATTAGTAATACACAACTGTTAAAGATAACATAAGTATATTACAAAGTTTGATAATTATTGAACATAAAAAGAACTTTTACATAACATGTGTCTTTTAATAACATAGACATAATATATATTACATACTTTACAAAATTCCTCATAGGAAATGTAGGGCTGAAGTTGCAAAAGAAGGCCACCAGAGCTATGACTGTCTTTTATGAGGTGCAGAAGGAAGTAGCAACCTCCTTGCTCTCCTCAACGACTCCTCAGGGCATTTAGGGGAAAGACAACTAGGGGGTTGAAAATCTACCACTTTGGGTCTAAACTTCCCTTTCAGGAATTTTCTTTCACACTTTCCTTACAAAACACGCTCCTCTGCCAACACACATTTTTCTCATTTCTGCTTTTTGCTTTATATGAGATACCCTCTCCCCAGGCGATACAATATAGTAAGATTTGGAAATGTGGGAGGTTATGCCTTTTGTCAAGTGGTAGAAAAGTGATTATAAAAGGAAAGAAGTGGACAGAGAACTAGAATATTCACCTTAGGCTGATCAATTTTCTTTTTTAAGTAAGTGTGGAGCTTTAGGATCTAGAAACAAATTCCCTTAATCTCTCTCACCCCATTTAACCCCTTGAAGAATTTCTATTCACACTTAATGATACAAGTAATCCAGTTTATTAACAGCTGGTCTAAAGAGAGTGGATATTTGGATTTCAAATGGCTCAACTATGGGCATGCAAAGTAAAACTGGATAAAAGAACAAATAAACAGGTGCAAAAGAGAAATAAGCATTTATGAAGCCCAGATTATGTGTCAGGTACTGGATTCGGTGTTTTCATATATCCAAACTGATTTCAGTCCTTACATTGACTCTGATAGAGAAATGGAGCATGCATGAGCTTCCTCTACAACATTGACATGCAAATATTCTCACACACTTTCATTGTTTTTTATTCAAATCAAATTTGGCTTAGTCCACCTGAGATGGCAAAAAGTCAGCTACCACTGACTTTCAGAGGGAATTGTCCTCTTTCCTCTGCACAGTATACCCCACTTCCCCAAAAAGCCCTGGGGAGGTCACAGCCTTGGGGAAAGGGAACAGCTAATATACAAAGAAACTTAATTCCCTTAGGATCCAGGGAGCAAGATAGCAGTTAACATCTCAGTAAAACTTCTAATGGCATAGTCACTCTTACCCACATTTTAGAGATGAGAAAACTGAAATTCAAGGAGTTGAAACAATTTGCATAAGGCAAACAGCCAGCCAGGAATGTCTGGAACTTAGAATGGCCTTGCTCCAGTTTTAACTATTTCACTAATTAGACATGAAAATGTTAGCTTTATTTATTTTTTTCCTCAGCAGCTGTTAGAAAGCAAGGCAGGCCTTCTCAGTGGGTATTTGTGGGTATTGCTTAAAGTGGAATACTGGAACCTTGGTTAGGTTTGTTACTCAAAGATAGGATATAAATGAGACACTTGCGTACCAAGTGTCAGTCACATTTCTTGCTTCCTCCATTTACATCTGTGTTTCTGATTGGCAGGGAAATAACTTGACCTCATTAGGGTCATTCCATTGGAAAACTCAAAGCCAACTGGCATATTTATTGGGTATCTCCATGGCATTCCCTTCTACCAGCCTACCAGGGGACTACTAGGAAATTCTGGTCTGTCTCCACACAAAGGAGGATATGGAAGAGAGGCAGTACAAAATTTGGCTACAGGTAACAGAGCCAACAATTAATTGAGGCATCCATTTCTTTAAACCCTACATTCAGTCATTTCCTTTCTGATTCTGTCAGTGTTCACACAGTAGAAATAAATGAATAACCACTGCTGGGTGCCCAGGGACTCAACAGACTTGCTTGAGGCATCCTTTGATCGGTTTCTCCCTCTTCAAACCCCTAATGAAAGATCTTTCTACCCTCCACCTGAGCTTAGGGTGCATTCCTCAGATAATAGTCCAGTTGCAATTTTGAGTCAACACTTGGCTTGTTTATTTTCCAATCAGCTCCCTGACCATAGTGAGAAAGAAATATTCTAAAGCCACAGAAGACAGTCTTTTCAAGATTTAAGACCTTTAATATATAGTCCCTGAGAAAAAAAATTTTATTGTTGTCTTCCTTTTTATTATTTCAATTTTAAACCATTTCTAACTGGCTGATGCTATAGGGTATATAAAAACTGAGTGTCTGCAACAGAGCTGAGGTCTAAAATGTATAAGAAGAAACAAGTGAGTTTCCTAGAAGTAGAGACAGACTTGTCACTCTGTCCATAATCCTGGAACCTAGCC